AACCAATAGAACAACAGTAATTCCTATTGGAATAATGCCCAAAATAAAAAGGAATTTTGTAATGGTTTAATGGAAACTATAAGAATTTGTGATGGTTTCTGTTGTATTTTTCAGCAGGGTAATGATACCCATACTGTGCTGCACATTATTGCCAATATTGAGCTGAAGCTTGACTTTGCAAATTTAAAATCGCAAATCAAATCGCAATCGCAATATCTGTAAAAAAAAATCGCAATTTGATATTTTCCCCCAAATCGCACAGCCCTAGTTCCTAGTTTAGTGGGCCCATGATGAATTATAGAAGTCAAGGGAGCTGTTATTTATAAGCCTGCTTAACTTAATCTTTGTGAGCATTGCTGTATTTTTTTTAAAACACAGAGTAGTCCTTAAAATACCAAGAAAAAAAATGGTAGAACATTGCACTTGATTTATTAATATTCTGATTTTAAAATTATCAGTATTAAATCATTATCACCACTAGATTCTAGTGAAATACCATCTTTTGGAGGGCATCTTAATCATGAATGTTTTGATGAGACTTTTACAGGGACTGTCATTACACGTTCTCCAAAATAACTTGAGAACATTTGATCTTCCCCGCATAAAAGTAAAATGACGGTAACAAATGTGTGTATTTGTTGTAAATCAAATAATTTCTTTCAGGGGTGCTCCGATTGATTGGCTACCGATCGCTATCGGCCGATAATCGCTTTGGGAAGTTTGACTGGTGGTCTCTATAAAGGCTGATCTCATAAATGGATCAAAAGCTGACGATGTGCCTGCCCTTAGAGGTTTGGCACGACATGGAGCAGCACAGTCTAATAATTATAATGCTGAAGGTGAGGTTAGGGTTGGGTATCGATTGTTTTTTTTGATACCGGTGCCAAATCGGTACTTTTAAAACCGTACCGGTGCCTGAACCGATACTTTAAAAAAAGAGCCACAAAAAAAACGATGGATAACATTAAAAAACATAAAAAATATTTAAAATAAATATACATAGCATTCACATGCTCTTCGGATGCTCTCATTTTCCGAGTTCCCTTACTCTAAGGATAATAAATGTATTTCACGATCTGGGTCTTTATTTAATACAAAACAGTATTTAATACAAAACCACGCATAATGTTTCTACTGTAACTCTGTCAATCACTCTGATATTTAGTTAAAATGAGTGAATTGACTGAGTGACTGTATGGTATGACACATGCTCTGTAATATGATTTATATGAAATTTTCTAATGAAAATAGCAACATGATCGTTTTATAAAGTATGCGTTCATCCCTACCCCCTTGACACTCTGTTTCAAGGGACAAGGGGAAGGGTGGAGGCGGAGGGGTAGGGGAAGGGGTATAAAATAGAACTGGGATTGGGCCGAAGTCTGCCGCCGTTTCACTTTTCATATGAAATTTAAAGGGGACTGACTCTGAGGCGATCACGAACTTGTGTACAGTTCATGGAGCTAATCGCTATAGCCCCGTTAAAAATGGCCTAGCCACGCCCATGCTTCTTACATCCATTTCGGAGAACCAGGACAAATATTTCAATCACTCAGGCATTTAAGTGGCACCGAACTGAGGCACTGAAATCTGCGTTCTGATTCGGTTCTAGTACATACCGGTTACATGGGTACCGGTACCATATTGGCACCGGGTTTCGGTACCCAACCCTAGGTGAGGTACAATTCATATTTCTTCATTATATAACTTACAAAGTAATTTGAAAACGTTCTGAGAGACATCATTTTGCAAACAGCATGAGTGAATCACTTTCCCTCTCTTTCCTTCTGAAAATGTGCGAATGGCTTCAAATCACCACATCGCGTCTGCACAGTTGACACAGGAATTGTCACTTGCACAATCGAGGCGGTATCACATTGTAACATAAAAGGGTTGGTTTATAATTTTTTGTGTTTATGGGGGGCAGTGTAATGCGTTCGTGCTTAGTTTATAAAAATATAATTATTTTCACATATTTTACCTTTATTCTACACCGCTGTTTCCAATAGACTTGTTTGGCATTGCTGGGAACCCCCACAAAAACGTCATAACCGTTTATGCCGTGGGGGAAAACAAACCATTTGAATTAACGCGCGGAGACCTTGTTAGGCGCTTGATTTTTACTTTTTGTGATGATTTCGATTGATTTCTGCTTGGTGCAATAACGAAAAGTTGCTGTGTGGAGTTCTGTACCACTAATAAGTTAAAAAACCTGATCTGAAGATGTATATTACTGATAAACAAGACGGACTACCGGAGGTAGCACTGAGCGGGTAGTACAGATTAGTGTTGGGTCATTCTTAAACGATTCGTTCATTTTGAACAAATCTTTAATGTGACTCGGGAAGAACGAGTCGTCTTGGGGAGTGATCCATTCAGTCACGCATGCGCAACATCCTATAGGTTCTGTACTGGAATTAGTCAAGTAGTTCACCTGGTTCGAGTCTTCGGGTTTTTCCGAGTCGTTCGTTCATCACATGACAGACACATACGTTTACCCTATGCAGTCTGAGCCGGAAAGAGAATTGATTAGTTCATCTCTCGAGTCTTCGGGTTTTTTGAGTCGATCGTTCATCACGTGACAGACCCATAAGCCCAAACCCGAAGACTTGTCAGATAAGAGGTGGTGAGCTAATCATAGACTGAAGACTCAGGTAAACAATGAATTAATCTTTTCTGTTTCTTATAGCAGTTTTGTATTGTTTGTAATGTGATCAACGTTTGCGTAAGTAGTAGACATATTAGGGAAGTAGCACGTAACATTTTAATTATATTTTGTTAAAATGAACGAAATGACTCGAAAAAAGATTTGTTAATTTTGCTGAACGAGACTCAAAGGTCCGAGTCGGTAAAATGATCCGAACTTCCCATCACTAGCACAGATAGGCTACACTACTTACCCTGCAATGATCTGTCATTAGTCCTGTCCCACTGCACCGCCACCCATTTCTAATGGGGCTTACAGTAACCCTCCTTCGCATCACAATCAAATAAATCTCACTCCCTGATATTTTGTGATGTCATAATCTATTAAAACATTTATTTCAAATTATTATACACAATCCCTTACGAAAATTAGCAATGGTATTACTATAGTAAAAGTATAGGAGGCTAACCATGTTTTTTTTTTTTAGCGTTTTTATTACCAATTGTAGCCTATAACCACAGTTTTACTACAAACACCATGGTTAAACTATGGTTAGTGTAGCAAAACATTGTTTTTACCATGGTTTCACTATAGTAACCAATAGCCATGTTTTTTGGTATTTTATATACATATTTTCATTTTACGGCATATATTTGTGAAAATGATTAGCCGCAGCACACACCACATAGAATAATGCTGCGCATTTCAAGGCACTTCATTGGACCTTAATGTTACCTGTTTTTAATATATCAATAAGAAAGTACGACAGGCTTTTACTCAAGTCTTTATCACTTTATTTAAATTAAGCAAAACAAAACGACAAATGTTTACTTTCACAAGCCATCTCGTATAGGCTTGTAGTAAGCTGTCTCTTGCTCAATTAGGTAACAAAAAATGTCAGGAAACAACACCTCTGGCCTTTCGGTTGGGTCGTTTGTCCAGTCACAGATACCGTATGGACAGTCTTACCCAATACGGCTCAGTTTTTATACGTATGTTGCTCTGTCGAGCGGCAGAAATTATTTTATGTAGGCCATTCTGAGTCAACACCATGCTTTTCCAATGAGGGGGAAAGGACTGTTTTCCCCCACGCCGACTCCGCCCACACAGCTATGACGCGACACCGATCAAGTCTATGTCAACAAAATGGTCTGCTGAGTTTTTGATTCTATGAAGCCCCTCCCTCAGAAATATGCAATCGGGCCCAGATTGGTTATAGCTGGCCCAGTGTGTTAACTGCCTAGTGCACGTTGTCCGGAAATGTCACGCCCCCTTACCATCATGGGTAGCTGCATGTTCCCGGGGGCAGGGTTTATGTAAACATCGGGGTTAGTGATGTCACAAACCAGGGAAGAAGCTTGTTGTAGTCCCTACCAGCCTTTTTTTGTAGTCCTTAAACAGTGATTTCTTTAAACGAAATATCTCCTTTTGCATTGAACTTTGAGCGTCGTAACTTTGCAGACACTGTTTATGCTCTAACAGCAACATTATACACTAACTAAAGTTAAAAAAGAGAAATCATAATCAACCACCCCTTTAAACCATTCAGCACTCGCACGCTCTTTTAGAGATGTGCACTCATGCGCACTTAAAGCACACACACGTAAGTCCGCCTCACATACAGCTCACGAAATCAGGCCTGTGCTGTGTGTAAGCTGTTGTGCAATAATTGCCGCATTATAAAAACAAAAATGCACTGCATGGTCAAAGATTTAGGTGAGATAATTATATATTTTTGAAAAATGTCAAAAAATGCCTCCCCTCCACCCCTATAAATAATTCTACATGATAAAAAGAAGGCTTCAAAAAGATTGGTATCGGTAATCGTATCGGCAGATACCGTTTCCTGTGATCGACTCGAAAAATCAGGAGCATCCTAAATTTCTTTTAATGCTTTGTCTTTTTAAAAATATATTTCAAAATAAAAGAACAAGTGATCTTATATAGGATGTGGATTTATTAGCTTCACTTGCCCTATACCAGGGACGTTAATTTCAAATGCCTTGCTGTCTTTGCAAATTATATATTCTTATATATTATATATTCAAAACAATGAGAACACAACAAACTAGGGGTGCTCTGATTGATCGGCTACCGATCACTATCGGCCGATAATCGCTTTGGGATGATTGATCGGTGGTCTCTAAAAAGTCAGTTCTCAAAAAAACGATCTCAAGCTGATGATGCTGCCGTGAGAGGTTTGGCACGACATGCAGCGTCACCGTCTCAGTCTCTGTCCGGCGCGGGTAAAATAATTATAATGCTGAAGGTGAGGTACTCACCTTAATATTTGCATTTGTTTGAAACATTTCAAATGTATTTTTTTCTTGCAGTGCTTATAAACATGGTTTTAATATTAAGAACCGTACACAACCTGCCAGTGCATGCTAATGTGTGAATGCCAGTATATGTATACAACAAGGGCACAAAAGTAGCAAAAAACTGCCAAGAAACTGTCATACAAAGCTGAAAATACACTCATACCTCATGGGAAACAACCACTGAGAAAAGCTTGAAAAAAACACACATACATGTCCATTACAGTCCTTTTTTTTTCTTGAACATTTAAAAGGAGAAAGGTGTCCTGCAGTGCACCATCGTAGTCTTCGTATTAGGAGGACAGCTTGCACGCCTTTCTTGTGTGTATGAAGTGTCTCACCATGAGCCTTTAAAATCAGAAAATAACAGTAAAAATATGCTGCTTTTGTGAGTAATAGGAATGTAACAATGTACTCAAAGTCGGTTGAAAATCAAAGCAAATATGTGCTGCAAGTTGATTGAGACATTAAACAAATCAAGATATGCGTTTTAAACACCAAGGGCTGCTGAAACTGTATACTGTGACCGTGCTTTACAAGCACCATAGCAGCAAACATTTCGGCAAGTTAATAAATAGTAGCAAAAATGATGGCGGCAGTGGCAGGGTAGATTTTTGATGAGGTGGCAACAGACAAAACAAAAACTGTGTAAATACACATACAATGTCATAAAGGGTTTGTTCAATCAAAAATGAAAATTCTGTCATCAATTACTCACCCTCATATAATTTCAAACCCATAAGACCTTTGTTCATCTTCAGAACACAAATGAGGATATTTTTGATGAAATTCGAGAGCTTTCTGACCCTCCATTGGCAGCAAAGCAACTAAAACATTCAAGGTCCAGAACGGTAGGAAAGACATCTTTAAAGTAATCCATGTGACTCTGGTTTAACCTCAATTTTATGAAGCAATGCACGTGCTTTGTTTGTGCAAAAAACACATTTTACCGCTTTATTTTCTAAAAATATTGATCTGCCACACACGCTCATAAGAGCATCATGACGCATGTATGTTGTGTTCACGCTAGAGTTAACATTTGTAGCATGAACAAGTTTTGAATAATATTTTAATGTAAATAAAGTGGTAAATAAATTTTTTTTGGACAAACATAGCACTCGTGTTGCTTCATAAAATTGAGGTTAAACCACAGGAGTCACATGGATTACTTTAATGATGTCTTTCCTACCGTTCTGGACCTTGAATGTTTTAGTTGCATTGCTGCCAATGGGGGAACAGAAAGCCCTCAGATTTCATCAAAAATATTTTTGTTTGTGTTCTGAAGATGAACAAAGGTCTTACAGGTGTGGAACGACATGAGAGTGAGTAATTAATGACAGAATTTTCATTTTTGGGTGAACTATCCGTTTAATAGGCCAAACCACACTGACCGGTGGATCTGCATCTCCAATCGCAGCGAAATCGTTTCCTCGCTCCTACATCTTCCACCCTATGACCCGGACACCGATCGAACTCAGCTGTCTAATGATAGAAATGTAGGGGGAAAAAAAATCAGAAGTAGTTGAAATGTTGGCTTATCTTATTAAGATATGGTTTATATTATTTTATTTAGTACATAAATGCAAAACTTACCCTTCATCAAGTCTCAGACTCATAGTCAAATGTTTGCCTATAAAAAGAGAAAAACATATGTATGGGGGGAAAAAAACAAAAAAAAACTTTAAAGTGGTTCAAATATTGGTACAGAAATGCAAAACTCACCCTTCATCCAGTCTCAGACTCTCAAGCGTGTGCCTGTAAAAAAACCCCAAAAATTATTCAACTTAAATGTACTTGTAAACAACACACACACAATCAAAGACATTTCCTATACAACAGCCTCATAACCCTTTAATAACCTGAGTTGCCTAAAAAAAACATTAAGATGGATGGTGATCCTCACTGTAATGTGCTCAGTCATAGCCTACAAAGGGAGGTAAACGGGGAATTGTTGGTTAATTGCTAATTACAGTTAAGCCCAAAGATGTAAGCTACACAACACTTTTACAGACTTTTTGTTCATGATTAAAATATGACCGATTCATACAACATAATGCATTTGTTTGCATTTACTGTTACCTGTAATCTGTTACCAGTAAGCAATTTGCAATCGTAAAACAAAATTATATATAAAATATATGATGATGGCCAATAAAATAACAAATGGCACAGAAAACGAGCTTGTGAGGAACAGATGTAACGTTAGGCCTACAGTGCGTCCAACTGAATGTAACGTTTAACATGTCGGTTGTTCGGCTGACAAAAACGTCTTTCTAAAAAAGTTGTCACAAATGAACAAGGTTAACAATTGTTTGGTCTTTTAAATCATATTAATAAGTTCCATATGTTCATCTAACGTTAGTTTGAATAGAACAAACTGACAAAACTGGTGACGATTAGTTCATGCGTCGTAGAAAACAGCTCGGGCGTTGTCTACCTCAAGTTAACTTATATTATCCTAGCTTGAACGGTTGATAAAAAAAATAAAATAATTTTTAAAAAACACTTAACTTTAGTAACGAATACCAACTCAAATGCACGAAGCCTGACTGGGATAAACTTCCAGTGGGCGCGAAAATGCCGAGCCTGCTCAGCAAAGCCAACTGGTACCCACTTTAACGGTAAAATACACCTATAATCGCTCAAATTGCCCATCTTAACGATGTTTAACAGGTGGAGAAACAAATGTGTCAAATTTCAAACGTTACATTACAATCTGCAGGCTAATGCAGCACAGCACAGCGGCCACCGTATCAGAAATGCAAAACTTGAAAGGTAAACACAGTTCGGAAAACAATGACAGAGCATAACTAATTCTGCTCTATTCTGCTAAAATGAACAATAATCTCCCAAAAATGATGTTACACAAGTATTCACTCACCTCATCCACGCTGAATATGCTTCTTCACGTGCAGCCCAACGCACAGCGTCCTCAAGTTCATGAGTTGTTCGTCTGCAATTCCTCCGCGGTTTAGTTAGTTGCACTGCGATGTCTCAAGTTTCAAACATGAGTCTAATGTCTAGATTTGCTAAAAAAAAAAATTTCTTGGAAAGGACTCTGATATTAAATTAATGCACAAATTTGACTCCTGCGCATGAATCCATGTTCAGAGATTTGGCCGGTTAGTGCCAAAAAGCTACAACTTAAAATGTTAAGTTCACTGAACTAAATTGGGCTCCTTGAATTTCAGTAACATTAAACTGACTTAAAAAATCAAGTTGAATCTAGTATAACTTATAAAAAAAGTTGAAATTGCTTAAATGTATTTTTATGAGTTAAAGTAACTTAAAAACATAAGTTGTCATGGCTTTTTCATATTATCATTTTTTACAGTGAATCCAAATATTTTTATCAAATCCGCTAACTTGTTTGAAGAACCAAATTAGCCAGAGATCAGTTATCATGATTAAAAGATCTGGCATCTGTCAAATCATCGCAGATGTATTAAACGAGGTACGAAGAACGAACCCCATATTCCAGCTGAAATGAAAACTAGTAAACGCCAATAATTTTTGTTCCTTTTTTTTACACAATTATTTAGATTATCAATTGATAATGACTTCTTTTCATGTGGTTTCTTACAATACTATTCTATGACCTCAACATATTTTTTCCATAGTGCTTGATTTGTAAACTAATACATTTTGACATTTGCATTACATAACCAGCCCCATATGTATGGCTTTCCTGACATGGTAAACTTGCTCGGTAGCTCACCTGGTACAGTGTTGCACTTGCTATGCAGATCAAAGAGCTCAAAGCCTTGTAGAAGAATTAACCAAAATAATAAAATGTTGCCACAGTCACGTTTAACAGTTCTGGAGAAAATTGAACGCAAATATTTTTCAAAAATGTATACAGGCATGTTTTATTCTTGACACTGGGCTTACAGTGACTCTTGTGAACTTGTCACCTGAAAAGTGCAGTGAAATGTACCAGGAGCAATGTATTTACTGTTTTGCAGAACATAATTCCAATGAGCCTGGGTTGTGACGTTTTGTAAATATCCCAAAATGTTAAACTTCCTCAAGATTAAGTTTTTTTTAAAACTGTTCTCTCTCTTTCTGTTTGTGATATAGGTTTAGCCGATGGGGACGTGTATTTGACTGTGTTTTGTGTGTATGCATGTCACCCCTGCAGATCAAACCCTGGTAAGAAAATTTGGTCAACAATGTCTCTGTTTTGCTCTTTCTCTGATTACAGTAAATTAAAAAGTGAATTTGTCATTTTTATATTGTGACATGCTGTGACATGACATATGTGGCATAATTTCTTGATTTGTGTTAATGGGATATTATGTTGTTTTAATAACATTTACAATGTTTACACTGATGTTTAAATAATTGGGGTTGTTATTATGATGTAATTTTCACTGTTATTGTTTTCTTTTTTCTCTCTTTTATCCTCTTTCTCTCTTTTCTCTTAGAATAGTTGACATGCCACCTGGGATGGTGTGTGTGTTCTCTTCTCTTTTCTCCATATTGTGTTGCGTGGTCACCCAGAGCTCTGCTTCTTCCAGCCATCACCCCACTTTCTTGCGCAATGATACGTACTTTGAGCACCTGGCTTTGCATCCTGACCCTAAATTGGGTCGGGTCTATTTAGGCGCCCGTGATCGGCTTTACCAGCTTTCTTTCGATCTTCAGCTTGAGGCAGAGGAAGAGACGGGGCCTGTGATAGACAGCCGTGACTGCTTGCCCCCAATTAGTGACACAAACTGCCCACAGGCAAAATGGACCAATAACCACAACAAGCTCCTACTCGTGGATCCTTATAGTCAGGAGCTCATCAGTTGTGGAAGTGTTTATCAAGGAATATGTCAGAAACGAAGTTTGGATTCAGTGGGGAAAGTGCTTTTCTCCGCAGAGAGGCCTGTGGATACGCAGTATGTGGCGGCTAATGACCCCAATGTCTCTACAGTAGGACTTGTGGCACTCACTAGAGGCCGTGGGAAACAACAGCCAGTCCTGTTTGTGGGGCGGGGTTACACCAACAGCCAACCCCCAATATCTACTCGAAACTTAGTTATGGAGCCTGTTTTCTCATATGAAGAAACTTCAAAGTTAGCGGTGGCTGGGAGGCTTTCTGAGTATGATCATCATTTTGTAACATCATTTACCCATCGCTCGTATGTCTACTTCATGTTCTATCGGAGGGACTTACAGTCACCGTCGAGAGAATATCGCACATATGTTTCCCGTATGTGTTTGGATGATACTGCATATTATTCATATGTAGAAGTTCCATTAAGCTGCCGTTCAGCTGGAGGAAAGAATTATAACCTTCTACAAGCTCTACATGTAGGCCTACCAAAGTTAGATAAGGTTATGGGAAAAGAAAGTACAGCTGCTTCAGAACAAGAGGTCCTTTTGGGGGTGTTTTCGAGCCATTTCGCTTCTTCCAGTCGGCCAAATGAAGAGTCTGCGGTATGTGTGTTTTCACTTGAGGAAGTGGATAAACGTATTGATGCTACAAGAGATCTGTGCTACACTGAAATGGGTCGTGCAGATGGACAGGAGGTTGCATATATCGAGTATGAAGTCAAATCAAACTGTGCCAATCTTCCAACGGTGAGTTTACTGCTTCAGACAACAGTTGTGAACAGCTTCCAAGTCCCACTGTTACAATCTTAAAAGCATTTTCTTTAGAGCTATACAGTCAAGTCCTCTTTATCAGTTTGAACAAACACGGTCTCAAAATGATAGACCCTACCCTGGTCACAGGAAACCCATTTTACTACCAGGTGTAAACCGCAATGTGTCTCTTTTGGCCACTTGTGATTCATGAATGTTAGTGGAGTTATAGCTATAAGTGGAAAATAGCTATAAGGTTAGATTAGGTTGGTAACTGAGGTTGTAGTTTCAGATCCTGCATCACTGTGCCCCTGAACATAGCAGTTAACCTCTTCAGGGGAAGGAAAACTATAATTGAACAAGGCTTCATTCTATGATGACATAAAAATTCCACCACCCCAGTTGTGTAGCCATAAATAAATATTCTAAACTGGTCCGGAGAGGGTAGCTAACAACAGTTATTTAAAAAATCAGAGTAACAACAGTGTTAAAAGTAACAAGAAATCATTCTAATATGCTGATTTGTTATGGTTGTGTTGCTTAAAGGGTCATATGATGCGATTTTTCAAGTTTTCCTTTCTCTTTGGAGTGTTACAAGCTGATTGTGCATAGATAAGATCCCTGTGTGATGCTGTGTCCTTTGTTTTTTTTTTTAGGATTCTCTGATGAACAAAGTTTGAAGAAGAGCATTTGTTTGAAATAATAGAAATGGTCTTCTTTACTGACATTTTTGATACATTTTATACATTGTTGCTGAATAAAAGTTTGCATTTCTTTCAACAGCAACAACAAATACGATTTTTTTTTTTTTAAATGTTATGGGTAGTTTTATTTAGGCTTGAGATATAAACAACTAATCTTTACTCCTTCTATACTACTGTGTAGCAGTGTGCAAAACATTGTTTTTATGTTGACTTTATACCTTAAAAGGTATTTGACATGACTTGTGATTGTTAAGCTTTGTTTTAATCTTTGACTTTCGTCTCTCTGTAGAACACTTTGGATGCTTACCCATGTGGCTCTGATCACACCCCTAGTCCAATGGCAAGCCGGGCGCTTGTGGAAGCTGAGCCAATATTTGACAGTCCATCTGTCCGTCTCACTGCTGTGGCTGTGAGTGTAAGGGAGGAACATACTATTGCGTTTCTAGGAGACTCCCAAGGAAACTTACACAAGGTATAGAAACGTTTTCAAGGAATGAGGTGTACATTTATAGTCATTTAATTGCATGCGATTCTTCCATTATTCTTAGTTCTTTTCTGAGGCAAAACTACTTCAGAAAATGTCTTCGTTGTATTGCATTAGGTTGTAAATAAGGCTGGTTATTTTGGAGGAGAAACTCATGAAAATATGAGATTATCTTATTTAAGTAATGGTACAATTTTGAGGAGAAACCCACCATCTGATGTTAAGTGCATCATTACGAATGGTCTTCATTAACATACAACCTGAGGCTTAAATAGTCATCATCAGTATTTTATGCATTTTCTCTTTCTCTTTTTCAATATACCTATACTATATGTCAATATACAGACCTGAATTATGTGAGACAGTTCACTTAGAGCAGTCTTACACTAATGTTACAGAGGTAGTCTATATTTATGTAGACTTAAGGTACTAAAACCTAAACTATAGAAATAGAAAGCCTAAATTTTGCCATAGTTGATATGTAAAACTTTATTATTAGTTAGTGGGAGTGTGTCTCTCTGTTTTAATAAGCAAAGTCTTGGTGGGATAATTGCGTAAATGTAATGCATGGTGGTACAGTATATCCATTGTTATGGTTTTATCCATCATATAATTAACATAAAACATGAACATATAATTAGCCCATCTCTTTGTGCATATGTTTAGTGCAGCTTGGGTAGTGGTGAAGAATGAATTCGCAAAGATAAAAAAGAAAACATGTTTTCTAAAGCAGTTTCTCAATATGGGATGTGTGATCCTCATTCTGTTAAAGCCCATATTTGGGCCCTTGTTATGCCATGTTGTCTACAAAAGAAAGCTTCAAAAGAAAAATAAATAAATAAACATATACATAAAAAAATAAGGGTGATATGATGACGTATGACTATTTTAATGCTTAGTCTCTTAGAAAAACATTAATAAACAGTACTCAAACAACATTTTGAAAAAAGTGTCTTATGCGCACTAATACTGTGATTACTTGATTAAAACTGTAATAATGTGAGCTATTATTACAATTTAAAATAACTATTTAACTAGTTTATATATTTTACAATGTGATTTATTCATGTGAAGGCAAATATGAATTTTCAAAAGCCATTACTTTACATGATCCTTCAGAAATCATTCATCAAATAAATGCAGCCTTGGTGAGTCTGTGTAGTATATAATTTTGTCATTATTTGTATTTCCCTGCTGTTTTTATTCATTAATTATCATTTTTATTACTGTGCTCACACAGCTAGAGAAGAGGTCTGTAGCAGAGTGTGAAAAGCATTTGGATTGTCAGTCCTGCCTGTTGGCTCATGATCCATATTGTGGCTGGTGTGTTCTGGAGGGGAAGTAAGTTCATATTTGAAAAGAACCTCATATACAGAATGTTTTATTTTGAATAATTGGATACTTGAACTAGAACATTGTGTCTTTATGCATCAGGTGTGGGCTTCGTAGCGAGTGTGTGCGTGGGGATCAGAAAGATCAGTGGCTTTGGAGCTTTGATATAGAGCAACAATGCCTGAGCGTGACGTTTCTCAATCCATCCAACATCAGCCGAGAGGAGAGGAGAATTGTGTGTTTCACATATTAACGCATTTTTAAAAAAAGATCCAGTTTAAAAAGTTAGCCTAATTCAGTAGTACACGTTACATTTCGATAAAATACCAGATGCATATATTTATATAAGCTTAGTTCACAGTGACCATTATTGAGCACACAAACAACAACAACCAACTCTCTGCCTTCAATTCTTAAAAATCCAAATTGACTTTGTCTCTTATTCCATCTCTCTCTATATTTCTTTTGCTCACTTTTAGATCTTTTTATCCATCCCTGGTCTTCCCAGTCTAGAGCGAGGAGAGCATTACTCTTGTGTCTTCCAGGACAGGTCAAGTTTAGCTGTTGTCACAGAGAGTGGTGTCACTTGCTCTTCTCCACATGTATATACATTGCCATCTGTGTTACCTAGTCAAGGTGAGAATATTGCTAGCTAAATTGTTATGTATGTTTAACACATTTGTTTTGACACAGGAGGCCTGGCCAGTAAGACATCAAAAACCTAATAGAAATAAACATGGTCTAGTGTTTCATGAGCCGTACAATCCAACATATGGTGATGCTCAGGGCTGGACTGGTAATCAGGCATACTGGGCATTTTCCCAGTGGGCCGACGCACTTAAGGGGCCGACAGAATGTTGTTGTTTTTTTGCCAAGGATCATCACGCACGGGCAGCCAGTGGCCCATTGGTTTGTCTCCTGTATTGACAGCATAAACCACCCAATCACAATGCGCTATAGATGGAACGATTAAGTATTTTGCTCCGCCTATATAAAGATCGCTTCACCCCAACTTCTTCCTCGTCGGCTTTTCCCACGTTTTCATAGCAGATTTATCAAGAACAGGCTTGCCCTGTGGTGAGTGATGCTGGCCAAAGAGCCAGGCAGGAGGAGGAGAGGAGAGTAGTTGAATATGTAAAGCGCTTGATAGGGACTCGCAGCGGAGGCAGGCATCTAACCTATCCTAATGTGTGTGCGCGCCATGAGTGTAGAATACAAAGCACTTTTTAATCAAACGTAAATTCGTCCCGTGATTCAAGTCAAGTGTGTTCATAGAGGTTTCCATGGGTCAATGCGAATAAATCTAGATTTAAATAAAAAAAGACACGATATTGTCGGACCTGACGTTTTATTCTTATCCAAAACAACTATGCAATGATACATATCTACGCTAACAGTTAAAAAATATTTGAACAGTAAGATTTTTTATGTTTTTTAAAGAATTCTCTTCTGCTCACCAAGCCTGCATTTATTTGATCCAAAGTACAGCAAAAAGCAGTAATATTGTGAAATATTTTTACTTTTTAAAATAATTGCTTTCTATTTGAATATATTTTAAAATGTAATTTATTCCTGTGATAAAAGCTAAATTTTCAGCATCATTACTCCATTTTTCAGTGTCACATGATCTTCAGAAATCATTCTAATATGCTGATTTGCTGCTCAAGAAACATTTCTGATTATTATTATTACTATCAATGTTTAAAACAGTTGAGTACATTTTTTTTCAAGATTCTTTGATGAATAGAAAGATCCAAAGATCAGCATTTATCTGAAATAAATAGATTTCATAACATTATACACTATACCATTCATGTGATACAGGCATTTATAATGTTACAAAATATTTCTATTTCAGATAAATGCTGTTCTTCTGAACTTTCTATTTATAAAAAATGCCAGGGCCGATTTTTTGTCCCAGTCCAGCCCTGGTGATGCTAAAACAATTTTAATGACATTGCTTGAAGACACCAGAAAAGCAACAATATATTTGAAGAAGCTTAAATTTGCACACCTCTAGGGGGAAAAAGACGGAATTAACCCCCCCCCCCCCCATCTGTTTCATTTAATAAACAAATGATCACATTGACCAGGTTACTGATTAACATAGCTGTGCTTATGACAAAAACATGTGCTGCTTCTCTGATCAGAAATTACAAATTGAAATTGAATCGAATGCTTCAAGACAAATGGGAGAAATTTTTAAATCACATTGCTTGAGTTTCCATAATATATTTAGTAATAAAGGGATAGTTTACCTACAAATGAAAGTTATTCACCCTCATGTTGTTTCAAACATGTTTGCACTTCTTTCTTCACAAAAGATAATTTGAAAAATGTGTTTTTGTTTTGTTTTGTGTTCCACAGTTGAACAAAAAGTCATAAAAGTATTGAACAATGTGAGGGTGACACTTCCCATCCCATTTAAAAAAACAACCACAAATATTTTCAACTGAAATCATTTAAACCCCCCACTCCTGCTAGATGAAATCCCAGCAAGTCCAAACCTGGCTGGTAGTATGTGTAATCAAAGATGAGCCAGTGAGACAGAAATGATAAGATGAAAGTGAGAAGCCCAAACAGTCATGGCTGTATAACAATCATGACTCTACAGGAATCTCTTCTTGCTAATCTCTTCTTCTTCCTTCTGAATCAGATTTTTTTACAGTCACTCTGTCTCTTCGGTTCCATGATGTTGTTGTGACTTCTCGGGAATTCACCTTTTATGATTGCACAGCAGTCAAACAGCTTGCGGGAAGCATGCCGTGAGTTACAAACACCGCACATATTGTGGGCACAAAAAACTGAATTCTACACTTATTAAAGCCTCTGTCACATAAAAAAAAATCCAGTGATGCATGGTCATTAAGTTTTATAATGAAGTGTAATTAACTTGGTTTTAAAATTTAAAACTAAGATGTATATTTTTATCTATATACACTACCTCTAGGTAATGTGTTTGGATGCACTTTCTTTCTTTTGCAGCTGCCATGGTTGTGTGCAGAGTCGCTGGGGATGCAACTGGTGTGTAAACCAACATATGTGTACCCACAAGGGTGTGTGCGATAAGGGACTGATAATCTATAATGAACATGTAAGTCATTACATCATCAGCAGTGCCTTCTCTCTATGCTTTTGTTTTGATGTGTGGTGAAAATTACGTGTCTCAAACATGAGAACAGTGTTTCATGCAGAATTATGTGAATAATTGGTAAACAAAACACATCTTACCAGTTTCTTCAAAGAACCAGGGGGCAAATTCACAAAACATTCTTAAGAATAAAATGATTCTTAATTGCTATGCATGTACTTCTTAAAGGGGTCATATGGTGCGATTTCAGTTTTTCCTTTCTCTTTGGAGTATTACAAGCTCTTGGTGCATAAAGAAGATCTGTAAAGTTGCAAAGACTAAAGTCTCAAATCCAAAGAGATATTCTTTATAAAAGTTAAGAGTCAGCCACGCCTACCTAAAACGCTTCGTTCTAACACGCCCCCACATGTCTACGTCACGATGTGGGAAGATTTGCATAATGCCGCACAAATGTTCATGCAAAGAAAGAAGGCGTAACTTTTATTCTCGCTGTAGTTTTGTAGTTGCCGCCGCCACCATGTCGTGAAGGCGCTGTGTCATGGTTTTATGTTTACGTGGCACGATGCAACGCAACTCGTAAAAAGACAGTATAAGTCATTATAATCCGTAATTATGTCCCCACTGGATGCAACAGATGCCTCGTTTATAATGGGTTTTATTGGTTTTGAATCGTCGCTCCGGCCAGACAGAGCATCACAGTATGATAAGGGAAATAACATTTCCGTCACACACTTGAGGTATTCGGCCAATCACAACGCACTGGATAGCTGGCCAATCAGAGCACACCTCGCTTTTCAGACCGATGAGCTTTGTAAAAATCGATGCATTTCAGAAAGACGGGGCATAGAGGAGAAACAATAATGTACAGTATGTGGAAAATGTGTTTTTTGAACCTTAAACCGCATAAATGCATTTCGTTACACCAAATACACAAAATAATGTTCTTTTTAGCAACATCATATGACCCCTTTAAAGATGTTCTTATCTTTTTCTTCTCACACATTTTACATGAAGTGCTTGCTAATTTAAAAATACCTTCATAGGCAGACAAATGTATTGCTATACAATCACACAACAGTCTGAAATTTGAGAATTTTTTTGATATTTGAGAATTTGAAGACTTTTTGATAATATTTTATATTTATATCGAATTTTAAGAACTGCAGCTAGCAAAGAAAATGCAATAGAAAAAAACAAGCTGTCTATATTTTGTCTTGTCTTTATAATTTATTCATAGTAATTTGTCATGTTTTGGGAAATTTAAAATGTAATTGACTAAAATGCTTATTTATCAAAATTATGAGTAATTCCTGTAATTTGTTCAGTATACTTTTAAAAGAATAAAACACAAATTTCAGCTTGGTAAAGCTAACATGCACTGCAAACATAATTGTAAGTGGTCCACGTTTGCAGCAGCATTCTATTAGGAATATCACAGCTTGAGAATTCAAAGCCATGTTTCATAAATCAAAATAAATCATAACTAAACCGTTTTTGCAGTGTAAAAATATGGTTTTGAATTTTTTTTACATTTTTTTTGTTTACCTGAGTATCAATTTGTAATGGTTCCTTTTATAACCATCTATCTTTATTTATTTTACTATTGTGCCTCTCTTGGTTTTCCCTGCACTTCTCACTCTTAGTGGAAATCTCTGCCCACCCTACTTCCTGCAACCAAAGCCTCTAGAGCTGCATTCACAACTGCACCAGTCACAACACACAAAGTCCCTGAAACCATGGCTCATACTAAACCTTCGACTACTGCCACTGCAATAACTGAAACTATAACCACTGTACTGGAATCATTAACCTCTTCTGCACCTGTGAAACCAACACCATCAACTAGGATTTCTTCCACTTTCAAGCCGTCTGCTACGCCTACAAGTGCCTTTCTCTCCTCTTCCACAGCTGAGACCACAGTACAGCCAGCCTCCACACTCTCTCTGCTAGACGAGATACTCTCAGAAAAAGAGCTTCTTGTTACAGATATTGAATCAATGGCTCTGAGGGAGACAGACACTGATGTGGTTACTCTTGCAAGTTTGTCAGTGGTTGTAAAAACTGAGCTGTCATCAGTCATCGAAGCTGCTGAGGAGCAAAGGATTTCACTGCCATCATCATCGGCTGTAACCGAATTGCCACCACTAATGGAGCCAGTCACACATGATAGCTTGCTTACCAGCACCCCTCACAATTTGGCAGAAACACTGAATTTGATAAATGAAACCCAAACTACAGTTTTACCTTCAAATCCAGAACCAAACATGTTTGATTCTGAAACCAGTGACTTTTTGCCTGTTTCTGAGAGAGTGTCACCTGCCATGCCTTCAGAGAATAGGATAATCACTGACCGTCAAGAGGCTCATTTGGCTCCAGAGGAAGCTGAGGTGGATCAGGCAGAGAACGACAACGCAACATTTTCTGCAGCTACAGTCTTATCAGGGGATGGAGAATCAGACAGTGATCCCCCAGTATACCTCCATTTGCGAAGTACAGACATAGATGCTGATTACCAGTATGACTCAGCAGATTTACCGGTGAGTCCAAACATCTAGAACTGATACCAAGTCATAATTAAAAAAACAAAACAAAGAATAATGTTTTTTTCTGTCATGCTTACAATGTAGTTTCTTAGTATGGAATAACTAAAGAAATCCTGTAAATACTCTCATTATTTTTTGATTTACACTTGTATAATACACAGTACAATGTATACAGTATAGTAATTGCATTACACAGTATAATAATATGATGACGAATATGTCCGGAGAAGCATAATGAATTGTTTTTATACAGCTAATGAAACTGGAGATGGCTGCTCAGACGCATTCCATTAACAATTTAAAATGGTTATGGCAATTTTTGTGTTTAATTAAGTGGATATCAAAGTGTAAGTGTTTTGAGCGTACTTTAAATTACTGATTACAAGGAGTTTAGTATTTACTGTTACGTAATAGCTAAATTTAGTAATTTGTTGTGTTAAATTATCAACTCTCTTTTTACTTTAACAGTAATTTTTATTTCTGCTAATAATGACAGTTTGCTATATATATGTTTTTGTATTAGTTTATGTTTTTTAAATTTTAGGTTTATAAATTATTTGTTTAATTTTAAAGGGGTTATATGATGCGATTTCAAGTTTTCCTTTCTCTTTGGAGTGTTACAAGCTGTTCGTGGATAGATAAGATCCCTAAAGTTGCAAAGACTAAAGTCTCAAACCCAAAGAGATATTCTTTATAAAAGTTAAGACTGGTCCACACCCTCCTAAAACGCCTCGTTTAAACACGCCCCCACATGTCTACGTCACTGTGTGGGAAGATTTGCATAACACCGCCCAAATGTTCACGCTAAGAAGGAAGGCGTAACTTTATTGTTGCTGCCACCGCCATGTCGTGAAGACGCTGTGTTTCATTGCGAAAGCGAAAATACTTTGTTTGGCCTTTCAAAAGAGGACACGACTAGAAATCAGTGGTTAAGTTGTATTTACAACACTGTTCCAGAACAGTTCAACCCAAATATTTAGATGTGTGCAGTGCATTTTATGGAGGACTGTTTCCTGATCCTGGTAGAGTAGACTACAATGCCAGCTGTTCTGACTCACAGACTGTAAGTACGTTTTCATATTTAAAGAATTTGTCACTGACGATTCAAACGCGAGTTTTGGGCAGTGTAGAGTAGCACTTGTTGTTTGTCATTTCTCCGATCTCAAATGCAGACATGGTTTTATGTTTAGGCGGCGCAATGCAACGCAACACGTAAAAAGACCGTATAAGTCATTATAATCCGTAATTATGTCCCCACTGGATGCAACAAATGCCTCGTTTATAATGGGTTTTAATGTTTTTGTCTCGTCGCTCCGGGACACGGCATCACAGTATGGTAAGGGACGTAACATTTCCGTCACACGCTTGAGGTATTCGGCCAATCACAATGCACTGGATAGCTGGCCAATCAGAGCACAGACCAATGAGCTTTGTAAAAATCGACGCGTTTCAGAAAGGCGGGGCATAGAGGAGAAACAATAATGTACAGTATGTGGAAAAGAATGTGTTTTTTTAACCTTAAACCACATAAACACATTTCATTACACCAAATACACAAAATAATGTTCTTTTTAGCAACATCATATGACCCCTTTAAAGCATTTTATTTCAGCAAGTTAAAGCATTAATTCAACGTTTTATTCTACAACAACAGAAAAGTTAGTAAAATTCTTGAACATTTGCTATCTTTATCTTCGTGATATTTCTAGTTTTGTTTTGGCTTTAACATGTAGTTGAACGTTCTGAGTAAACATTGTAAATTAAATTATTAAATTAATTCAGATAATACACAATTCGTCATTTGGTCACATGCATTAATCTAATGGCAAATCAAATTAGAACCAAGAAAGAAATGCAGAATTTAGTAGTGGAATGTATTAGAATTAATTTTTCTGCTTACATTTTTTTGGGCATGTAAATCCTTTATCCCTTAAATCCCTTTGTCCTACTCCTTTTCACTGGATGATGCGACGCAGTACTATAACATTCACTCTCATACATGCTTGTGTGTGTTAACATATAATTGAACTGTTTTTTAAAATCAGGCTGATGAAGGCACTTTTGTCAATTGGGGGGCATCTGCCTGCCCATGTGTGGAGAAAATTCAAGGATCCTCTCTGCTTCCTGTACTAACTCAGAGAAAAATCTCTCTGCTGGCCCGCAACTTGCATCTCTATCAGGTAGAAATAAACAAACAAACACCCACTTCTTTCTGAATTTTAAAAAAATATACATCTCCATTAAAAAAAAAAAAAACTGTTTAAACACACTTGTGCCTAGGATAAAGAGCTGGCATATGAGTGTGTAATGGTGATCGAGGGGCAAACTGTGGTGGTTGATGCAGATGTGACGCTGAAGGAGGCACACACTTTGCTGTTTGACATCACCTGTCATGCTCACCAGGTACAACAACATAATTCAGAGCAAGATTTGTGAGTATTACCTGAGCATGTTATGAGGCCCTCATATTATACTCTAGTACAAAAAAGTGCACATTTTGAATATCTCCCTCATCTAACACACCTAATTCAGCTCATCTCATTAGTTGAGACTGCAAGACTCGGGCTATGTCTACACTTATCCAGATACATGTGAAAATGCTTTTTTTTTCGTCCACAATATAAAGGCATTTTTGTTCTGCAAGATTTTTGAAGACACTTTTCTAAGTGGATACATTTGAAGTTTTCACGTTGTAATGTGGACTGTGAAAACTGACGTATTTAAAAACTATGGTGTCTGTTTAGTCATGTCACATATATTGTACGATATGTGTAACATGTTTATTTATGTGCCTGTCACATGCTGTTTATTTTCACTGTGTTGCTATATATATATATATATATATATATATATGTGTGTGTGTGTGTGTGTATATACTGTATATATATTACTGTGTACAGTCTTCATATTCAATTTCTGCAAAAATGTACTTGCAATTTCTGTCCTGTGGCAAAACATGAGGGCAATTGGATTTTTTATCAGTCATGTGTGGAATGCCGAATAAGTGTGACCTGGATGCAGAAAGTGGTGAGATGTTTTGGTAACACTCTACTTAAAGCCTTTATGTATAATGCATTATATAACGGTATTCATAATGTTCGTTGTAAAGCATTATAACTTTTCATAAATAATTGTAACCAAACTTAAAATGCATTTGTAACCACACTTAAAATGCATGGTAGTATTTGTTTTTCATTTGTTTTAATTCAATATACTTTCTAAAGGTGTAGCAATGAATACCTACTGTAAGTATCATATAACGTATTATAACTGGGGTTACAATTATTCATGAGATCATACAATGCATTATAAGGGGCATTACAAGGCATAATTAATGCATTAAAACTACTTTTATAATGCATTATAAAGGCATTAAGTAAAGTGTTACCAATGTTTTGGTGAAAGAATAGTGTGAGAACTTTATTATGTCTGGTCTCCCAGTAATCATCTCAGTGAGCTTTTATTACGTTTTATATATATGAGATGAATTTAGTGTTTTCTGACGTTTCAGTATGGATGAGAAATTTTGGAAAATACTCGAAAATGCTGGTGTGGGTGAAGAGCATTTTGAAATGACGTTTTGTAGATGTCGCTTTGAATTGTGTGTGACTAATGAGGAAGACATCCAAAATGTGCAGTGGTGGGGGTCCCTAGGACAGGTTTGAGAAGCACTGCTCTAATATAAACTGTATAGAGGTGTAGCCAGGCAGATAATGCACATGCTCCAAAATGTCTCATCTCCCTGTTATTCACTTTAGTTTCCTGTTACTTCTCTATAGTGCTGTCTAAGTAAAGGCACACAACAAGCCCACAACAATAATTAAAGAACTATGTAGTAGTTTTAAATGCATGTGTGTTCTGTGAGGAAAGACTGCAGTTTGCAAATATCATCGATACTCACTCAACATTTCTTTTCTGTAGTATTTCTATGCAGACCCAGTTAGAGAGTATAATGCTATGGTGTATGTGAAGAGAAAAGACACTTTTCATATTGACAGCACTGACCTTTATGGTGAGTATAATTTTTTGATGGTCATGATGAGCTGTGTTTGTGCAAAATACACACGCATATAGAATTTTTAATTGCCTTATGAGCCCATTAAATACATAGCTATAGGGCCCTGGCACTTTCCATAAAATATAATATAAAGGTTTTTAAACCTTTATATTGTATGCTTTTATATGGTTTAGTAGCAATAGTCATTAATTTAGTATACAAATGTAAATGTTAACTTAATCTAATGGGTTTAAATTAAGCTATCACTCAGTTGAGGCAAGCTGGTGTTAGAGAAAATATTAGAAATGAAAGAAAAATATTTGTTTGATCATTTTTTTCTTACAGTGACTTGCGTATAATAACTTAAATGGTTTAAAGATGAAAAAAGATAATGGAACACCGTTATTCATAAAAATTGCCTTTATTTTCTCGATTAATGTCTCCTGCTGTTGTCTCCCCTCTGTCCAGTTTAACTCTCATTTGTGGAAAGTGTAGTCTTTGGGCCTTTGGCCTGATAATCTGTTTGTGTTTTTAGATTGCTAAATAAAACAGTTCTTTAAAAATGTAGTAACTGAATCTCACTCTTATGTATGAATTTGAAGTATATTTTGTCTGTATTGTAACTATGTTCTAACTGAGTTTCTTTGTTTTTTCTCTATTTCAGTGACGTTATATAACTGTTCAGTTGGGCACTTGGACTGTAGCCGCTGTCATACTGCAGATCAGAAGTACAACTGTGTGTGGTGTGGAGCCAGTTGTGTTTACAGAGAGTCCTGTTCCCAACACATCGAAATGACCTGTCCTGCTCCTCTCATTCATTTGGTTTGTTAAATAGTCTCAAAGTTGACTGATTGCATGATACTTTAGTGCATATGCAGTTTGTAACTTTTTAAAACCCTTTAATGCACAATTCTAAAATTAATTTTGCTTTAGCATAGTATAACACTGACCCGCTTGTGATCGGATTGACTGAAACACATCCGAACCCTGGGTGTAAATGGGACCTCTATTCTTTTCTTTTCTCCATTCTGTTATTTCCCTCCTGACTCACTCTCTCTAAGAGAAACTTTCTGACCCTACAATTAGCACACATACACTGTCTAAGGGAGTGAAACCTGTTTGCATATGTCTGTGTGTATGACTTACAATACATAATGCTGTACCATTCGGTACCTTCCAATGGCATTATATTAATAAATATAAGAAATAAGTATAAATATACATAAATATAAGAAGAGTAGTAGAGTGTTATCAATGCCAGGGTTGAGGTTTCGATTCCCAGGGAATGCATGAACAGATTAAATGTATAACTTGAAAGTAATGTAAGTCACCTTGGATAAAATCCTCTTCCAAATATGTAAATGTAAATCTGTACCACCATATAAAAAAAGATATCACTAAAGACTGGTTTTCTGTCCATAGGTGGAGCCTTTGTCAGGGTTGGTGGAAGGAGGCATTACTTTAACTGTTTCTGGGTCTAACTTGGGACAGAAAGCTCAGGATATCCTTCAGTCTGTGACTGTTGCGGGTGTGCCCTGCACTGTTATACCATATCTATATGAAATATCCTCCAGGTAAACACCCATACATTGTGTGCAAACTTCCCTTCTTGTTTTTTTCTTCTCAAATAACATTACACTTCCATCAGATGCACGTCAGACATTATATATCTGAATACATTCATATGTAAGCACATACACATCTACACTCACATTTACACATATGTACGTACCTATATGTGCTCATACAGATAGTGTGCAAACTAGTTTAAGTACTGCCATTGACTAGATGACTGCAGGATTTGATGTGAATGCCTCAACTTGTACCTAAAGCACACTTCAGGAGTATAGTATAGAACCACTGTGTCCTGCACTTAAAGAACATTGTTCTTTACAATATACAGTATTTGCAATTCACTTATTTCACTGATTAAATAATTTTAAGAAGTATTTGCCCATTTGCTTTGTTTCTGTGTGTCTTACACATTTGTATATGCTTACTCTTTCTCTTTTAGAATTCTATGTACAACTACTGCAAGTGGAGAGGAGAAATCTGGTCACATCTCTGTGAAAGTGTCTGGTGGAGGCTTCGGCCTGTCAAGTCAGAGATTCAGCTACCAGGTTAACTTGTATTTACTAATAATTAGCAATATTATTATAAAAAGTTATTTACCATTTTTCATGTCTTTCCAAAAGAATATATGGTCTCATCCTCCATGGGACACAGAAGGGGAATAATCTGGCCACTGCACCCAAATATATCATAAAAGTGTTCCCTATAACTTGTAGTAACTTGAAGTCATCGGATAGCTTTGTGTGAGCAATCGACAATAATGACCATCGTTATGGCTTAAGAAGACTTTGAATATAGCGCATGTGTTGTATGGACTACTTGAATCTAATTTTTGTATTGTGCTTTTGTGTCTTTTTGAAGCTTGAACACTCCATTGCCCATATATATATATATATATATATATATATATATATATATTATGAATAGTAATTTTGTACAGTTAAATCACTTGCCCCTGTGCATAAAAGATGAGACTTTTGAAGCTAAAGTAGTTCTGTGGGATAAAGGTGAAGACAATATAGTTCATATTCAATTTCAGTGTGTAATGATACACTCTATACAAAACATGACTATATTGTTCTTTGACGCAACATAAAAGCGTGGCTCTAAGGTTGCACCACATTCTAATACATTGTGTCTAATACGTTCTAAATCATGTTGTACACCCCCCCCCCCCCCCCCCC